AGAAAAAATGCTTTTAAAAGTAAAAAAAAAAAAAGCCTCTGATGATCGCGCGGCTCAGCTGGGATCATCAGAGGCTTTTAAAAGCACTTTTTCTACAACCTCTTCGGCAAGAGGTTGTAGAAAAAATGCTTTTAAAAGCCTCTGACGGTCCCAGCTGAATTGCCCAGCACGTTCTACAGGCCCGTGAGAAACACCTTGGGACAGGAATACAAACATGCCAGGAGTCGATTTCCCCATCCTGTTTCCTGGTCAGCTGGCAGCGCCACCTCATCTTGAGGCAAGACAAGCCCAGCCATTTCAAAAGCCGATTGTTTATCAGACACCTTGTTGGCTGCCGACCAACTGGGAGCCGTCCGAGCACACCCCGTCCTCAAACTCTGAAGCTTTCGCAAGACCTTAAGTTCAACCCTTCTCCAGACCTCCATTCTCCCGTCACAGATACTCCTCAGGAAGGAACTTGCTAGACCGCCCATCCCGGGCTCTGCCACCCACCTCAAATCCATCTAGCTTTTCTCACCTGCTGCTTTCGCCCACTTGAGTATGGAGGTCACTTCGTTGCCGGCCGTCGTGTTGCATTGGGACCGCGTCACGGCTGCGCTGACCCCCAAGGTGCCTTCGTTGGCCTTCACGCCGCATAAGTAAGCAGTGGCAGTGCCCGCGCTATCCGGCACCTGTGCGTTGGTGTTGTAAGTCTGCCAAAAAAAAAAGAATTGTAAAATGGTGGGCGATTCACCTGTAGGAACTGTTTCTTCCCATCACGGATGCGGGAACGGCCGTGGGATATGGCTCCAGGTGCCAGCTCTTACAGATACTGTGTTTCCCTGAAAATAAGATCCTGTCTTATATTTGTTTGAACCCCGTAATAAGCGCTTGGCCTTGTTTTCGGGGAGATCTTACTATTTTGGGGCGTGTGAAGCTCTTGCCGTCTTACCAAGGATCCCGATACTCCCACGTTACACCTCTCCTGCGCGACTTGCATTAGTTGCCGGTTGCCCTCCGGGTGAGATTCAAGATGCTGGTATTAACCTATAAAGCCCTTCATGGCTTAGGCCTAGGATATCTGTCGGACCACCTGCAACCAGCATCGACTTCCCATCGACCGGTGCATTCCCACAGAGAGGGTCTACTCAGGGTGCCGTCGGCTAGACAATGTCGGCTGGCGACCTCCAGGGGTAGAGCCTTCTCTGTGGCCGCGCCCACCCTTTGGAATCGACTTCCCGTGGGTCTTCGGCTGGCCCTTGACCTTCGTACCTTCCGCCGTGAGCTTAAGACCTGGCTGTTTAAACGCCCTAGCCAGGACTGATGGGGTCTACTGTTTTAAATTGGTTTTTAATCTGTTTTAATTTGTATTTATTGGGATTGTTTTGTTTGATGTAAGCCGCTCTGAGTCCTTCGGAGAGAGGGCGGCATATAAATCCAATAAATAATAATAATAATAATAATAATAATAATAATAATAATAATAATAATAATAATAAGAAGAAGAAGAAGAAGAAGAAGAAGAAGTTAATCTTTAGTGAGATTCACAGCCTTTGAGGCTGGTTAATAGCTCAGCAGCACGAGTCCTAACCAAGGACCTAGGAACTGTTAAGGTATCGTCGGAGGATGTAAGCTGTTCCGAGTAAGGTGGTTTTTTGTAGAGTCAAAATGTTCAAGTCCGGCAAATTTAGAATTTCTAAATAGCGGGGTAGCCCTTTGGGTATTGCTCCAAGGGCTCCGATTACAATCGGGACAACACACGATTTCTTTTTCCACAGTCGCTCAACTTCAATTTGCAAGTCCCGGTACTTTGTGATTTTTTTCTTGCTGCTTATCTTCGATCCGTGCATCACCAGGTATTGCAATGTCAACGAACCATACTTTTTTTTTTTCTTTTCAACTATTGTTATGTCAGGTGTGTTGTGGACCAAGTGCCTGTCAGTCTGAATCCTAAAGTCCCACAAGATCTTGAGTTTCTCATTCTCTAAAACTTTCTCAACCTGATGTTCCCAGTTGTTGTTGTTGTTGTTGTTGTTGTTGTTATTATTATTATTATTATTATTATTATTATTATTATTATTATTATTATTTCCAGCTCTGTCTCCCTACCCCTAACCAGAGGAAATGGCCGGGACCGGCTGTGCATGCATTTAAATATTTTCAGGAAGGGCTTATTTTTGGAAGAGGATTTATTTTACAGGGAGGGCTTATTATCAGGGGATGTCTTATTTTCACGGAAACACGGTACCAACATGGTCTCAGGGGGCCTGAACCTCTCCCCTCCTCAAACAGCTGTCAACAATTTTAATTTCTCCGATTGGCGGGGGTGGGTGGGTTTCCAGCTCTTTTCATTGCCCATTGAAGCTGGCTGCCAACGCTTGCCTTGGTAGTACAGTGGTTTAATGCACCCTGTTATTAACACAGCTGCCTGCAATTTCTGCAGGTTCGAATCTCACCAGGCTCAAGGTTGACTCAGCCTTCCATCCTTTCTAAGGTAGGTAAATTGAGGACCCAGTTTGTGGGGGCAATAAGCTGACTTTGTATAAATATACAAAAGTATGAAGGCTATTGCTTAGCGCATTGTAAGCCACCCTGAGTCTCCGGAGAAGGGCGGCATATAAGTCAAATAAAAAATAAAATAAAAATAAAAATAAAAAATGGCCTAAGCTACGAAACCTGTCGGAACTCTGCCTAGTACCTGGTGTTCCAGGATTTTAACAAAAGATTGATATTAATATCCTCTCAATTCCTGTTCGTGGGACTTGGTGTGCGGACGGAGCGGCAAGAAATTGGCAAAGCAAGGCAAGGCAGGGGTTGCAAAATGTTCCTCCTTTGAGCAAGCAAGCGTGGCCTCGTCCATTGTGATAACCGCAGCTTTTAAAAGCCTGCAGGGAAGGGGAGTAGAAAGAAAGCCAAAATCGTAGGTGGGATATTTGATCGGGAAAGGAAGGTTGTTCTGTACCTCTGCTCTCTTGTGGCTCCCACCTGGTAAGCTTTGCCGTTTCCATAATCCCATCCAAAAAAAAAAAAAAAGGGTGGGGGGAATTTTGATCCACCAAGGGAATTCTTGCGTGACTCTTCCCACAGATCAGCCAGAGGCAGCCTGGCTGTCATCGCTTAGGCAAGAAAAAAAATCCAAAAGTACACATATAGACTGGGTGAAACCAGGCTTCATAGCAGTAACTGCGAGAGGGATCTTGGAGTCTTAGTGGACAACCAGTTAAATATGAACCAAAAAGGCCAATGCAACCCTAAATTGCATTAACCAAGGGGTTCAATCAAGATCAAGGGAGGTACTAATACCACTCTATAAAGCCTTAGTAAGACCACACTTAGAGTACTGCATCTAGTTTTGGTCACCACACTATAAAAAAAGACGTTGGGACTCTAGAAAGAGTGCAGAGAAGAGCAACCAGGATGATGAGGGGACTGGAGGCTAAACATTAACAGATTAACCGAGTTGGAAGGGACTTTATAGGTCATCTAGTCCAACCCCCCGCACAAGCAGGAGACCCTACACCATTTCTGACAGATGGCAGGTCCAATCTTTTCTTGAAAGTCTCTAGTGATGAAGCTCCCACAACTTCCGAAGGCAACTTCTGTTCCATGGGTTAATTGGTCTCACTATCAGAAAGTTCCTCCTCATTTCCAGGTTGAATCTCTCCTTGGTCAGTTTCCATCCATTATTCCTTGTCTGGCCTTCAGGTGCCTTGGAAAAGAGCTTGACCCCCTTCCTCCTCTCTGTGGCAGCCCCTCAAATATTGGAAGACTGCTATCCTGTCTCCCCTGGTCCTTCTCTTCACTAGACTAGCCATGCCCAGTTCCTCAAACCGTTCATCGTATGTTTTAGCCTCCAGTCCCCTCATCATCCTGGTTGCTCTTCTCTGCACTTTTTCTAGAGTCTCAACATCTTTTTTAAAAACATACAATGAACGGTTGCAGGAACTGGGCAATGGCTAGTCTAGTGAAGAAAAGGACCAGCGGAGACATGATAGCCATCTTCCAATATTTGAGGGGCTGCCCCAGAGAGGAGGAAGGGGGTCAAGCTATTTTCCAAAGCACCCAAAGGCCAGAAAAAGGAATAACGGATGTGCTACCAAAAAGAGCCTTGGTAGCACAGTGGACTAATGCACTGTTTTTAACATCTGCTGCTTGCAATTTACTGCAAGTTCAAATCCCACCAGGCTCAAGGTCGACTCAGCCTTCCATCCTTTCTAAGGTAGGTGAAATGAGGACCCAGATTGTGGGGGCAATAAGATGACTTTGTATAAATATACAAAAGTATGAAAGCTATTTTTTTTTAAAAAAATTGATTTATATGCCGCCCTTCCCCGGAGACTCAGGGCGACTTACAATGCGCTCAGCAATAGCCTTCATCCTTTTGTATATTTATACAAAGTCACCTTATTGCCCCCACAAACCTCAATTTACCTACCTTAGAAAGGATGGAAGGCTGAGTCAACCTTGAGCCTTGGCGAGATTCGAACCTGCAGTAATTGCAGGCAGCTGGTCTTAATAACCAGCTTAATAACAGGGTGCCTTAGACCACTGTACTACCACGGCTCTGTACTACCAAGGCTATTGCTTAACTCATTGTAAGCCGCCCTGAGTCTCCGGAGAAGGGCGGCATATAAATTAAAGCAAAAAAATAAAAAAAAGGCAAAAAAAACCTGACCAAGGACCGGGCCTCCCATCCTAGTGCCATTTTAGGAGGGGAAAGAGCTGGGCGAAGGCTCGGAGAGGCTCCCACGGGGACCAGGGTGTGATGTTTGGTCCTTTAATCCACACCAGCCAGTCTTTAAGCACGTGATGGCAGAGCAACAGGTTCCTCGGGAGATTCCCAGGCGCCGATCCTGTGCCCTTTGGGTCTGTGACAGATTGGTAGACCCGCCCTCTTTGTCTACCAAAGGTATCTTTTGTGTTTTGTGAGAAGCAGCCTCGACTTCCTTCAGGCTGCAGAAGTTTGGCATCTTGTGCCCGTGCGTTGCACGGGGGTTTTGCCTTCCGTCTGGTCCTCCAAAGCCACACCTTGGCAATCAGGTGTCTCTCTCTCTGTGTGATTGTTTTCCACTTAGGGAAATGAACTGCCGACACCGTGACATGAGCTAACCTTGGGGTTCCCGCTGCCCTACCAGCCTCTCCCTCCGGGCCGGGGTCCGTATGCGTCACCTGGAGCCTTGCCAAATTTTGGGGAGGTTTCCCGGGAACGGGTGAGGCACGAGGCTCGGAATTCTTCCTCTTTCGGCTTCCCTTCCTCCTCCACCCAGCAGCCGCCAGCCTGAAGAAAGACGGGCCCCTGCTTACCTTAGACAGGGCCACAAACGGAAAACGGTCCATTTCTAATACAGTTTCCTCTCCGGTTCTCTGCTGCAGCTGGCCCTTCAGGATACGAGCGGCCGTCACGGTGGAGATGCCCATCCCTGGCGCAGGAGAGCCTCGGTGAGTAGTTGACCCCCCACCAGTTAAGAGATCCCCAGAATGCCCTGGAAGCTGCCTCAGTTTCCCCATCCGGCTACGGCCGCATGGCAGCCCAGGACAGGGATGGGCTTCAAAAATTTTAGCAAGGCGTTTTTGCCCTCCCCAGGCTCCAGAGGCTTTTCTCGAGCCTCCGGGAGGGCGAAAATGGCCTCTCCAGGTTCCGGAGGCCATCTGGAGGCCGGAAAGGGGCCCATTTCCAGCCTTCCCGAACTTTTAGAAGGTTTTTCGCCCTCCCTGAGCCTCCACACGTACCCCACACTTATCTGCATCCAAAACGGGCTGCGTGGGGACTCCTGGGAGGGGCGGGATGGGGTGGGTGGGGCCAGCCAGGAATGGGATTTGGGGGCGGGTTCTCCGAACTGCACAGAATCTTAGCTAGGGGTTCTCCCGAACCCCTGCGAACCCCCAGCAGCTCACCCCTAGCCCAGGAGCAGTGGAGAAATCCAATTTTTTTTACTACCGGTTCTGTGGGTGTGGCTTGGTGGGCGTGGCAGGAGAAGGATACTGCAAAATCCCCATTCCCACCCCACTCTGGGGCCAGCCAGAGGTGGTATTTGCCGGTTCTCCGAACTACTCAAAATTTCCGCTACAGGTTCTCCAGAACCTGTCAGAACCTGCTAGATTTCATCCCTGGCCCAGGAGCCTCAGGGTCTCCCCAAAAGGCCAGCTGAAGTAACTCAGCCATGACGTCCCTCGAGAACTTTTGTAATGCCCCAAAATGTCCTCCATTCCAGTCTGCTTGCGGGGTGGGAGGGCGCATTCACCTGACGGCCATTTCCACAAGCTGTGTGGAAGTCTCTCTCTCTCTCTCTCTCTCTCTCAGCCCAGCCCACCTCACCGGGTTGTCGTCGTGGGGGGAAAAAAAAGAGGGGGGAAAACTACGCTCGTCGCCTCAAGTTGTTATAAAAAATAATAAAAAGCAGAATAATTTTTTAAAAAATGTTTAGGACAGTTTCTCTTGGAGGACCCTTCTCTCTTCTGGGGGGACTTCCCCCCTCCTCCCCTCCATTCCTTCACACGTCTTCCCGTCCCCACATCCAGGTGCCAAAGGGAAGATTAATTAGCGTGTCCTCCTTAATCACCTTCTTTGCACAGCTGCCCAGTGGGTTGAACAAAGGGAGGGAAGGCAGAGCCCGAAAGGGGCCGGTGAAAACAGCCAAGAGGCCGATCACCCTTCTCGGGCTGGCCTGGGACTAAGGAGAGGCAGACTCCGCCATCTTGCAGCACCCACCGTCTCCGAGGAAGAGGATGATGTTCTTGGCCACATTGGTGTTTAGCTTTTGAAGGGTCAAGGCTCTCTTCAGAGTCTCCTGAGCCTGGAGCCGCCAGTACTGAGGATCCTTCTCCTTTTCTGCAATGGGAGAGGGGGGAAAGGAAGTGGGTAATAGCACCCCAATTACATGTACCCCCCCCCCACACACACCCTTGATGGACAGGGCTTCTGCTCGGCAGCCTCTTTCCCCAGGCCTGGTCGAGCACCCCAGCCAGCCTCCTCGCTTACCTGGGACCACGAAGGAGAGGGATGCCTGCGCCAAGAAGGGGAACAGCAGTAGCAGAAGGGGCTTCATTGCGAGGTCTCAGGGAACCGGTTTCCCCAGCACGGGAAAAAAATCCTCCGCGTCCTGCAAGGGGTACAGGGACATCCCCATCAGCCACAGAGATCAGGACGATCCCTTAAATGTGAGCCAGCTGTGAGCGGCGGCAGCCAAAAAAGGCAATAGCAATAGCACTTAAGACTTATATACCGCTTCATAGTGCTTTTACAGCCCGCTCTCTAAGCAGTTTACAGCGTCAGCCTCTTGCCTCCCAAACAATCTAGGTCCTCGTTTTACCCACCTCGGAAGGATGGAAGGCTGAGTCAACCTTGAGACCTGTCGGGATCGAACTGCTGGCAGTGGGAATGCAGAGTTAGCCTGTAATACTGCATTCTAACCACTGGGAGGGAAGGAAGGAAGGAAGGAGGATGGAAGGAAGGAAGGAAGGAAGGAAGGAAGGAAGGAAGGAAGGAAGGAAGAGGAAGGAAGGAAGGAAGGAAGGAAGAAGGAAGGAAGGAAGGAAGGAAGGAAAATAGAAATAGTACTTAGACTTATATACCACTTCACAGTGCTTTATAGCCCTCTCTAAGCAGTTTACAGAGTCAACATATATTGCCCCCAACAATTTGGGTGCTCATTTTACACACCTCGGAAGGATGGAAGGCTGAGTTAACCTTGAGCCCTGTCAGGATCGAACTGCTGGCAGTGGGAATGCAGAGTTAGCCTGCAATACTGCATTCTAAAAAGAAGGAAGGAAGGAAGGAAGGAAGGAAGGAAGGAAGGAAGGAAGGAAGGGAGGGAGGGAGGGAGGGAGGGAGGGAGGAAGGAAGGAAGGAAGGAAGGAAGGAAGGAAGGAAAGATAGCAATAGCACTTAGATTTATATACCGCTTCACAGTGCTTTTATAGCCTTCTCTAAGCGGTTTACAGAGTCAGCCTATTGCCCCTACAACGATCTGGGTCCACCTCGGAAGGTTGGAAGGCTGAGTCAACCTTGAACCCTATCAGGATCGAACTGCTGGCGGTGGGGAGAGTTAACCTGCGATACTGCATTCTAAAAGGAAGGAAGGAAGGAAGGAAGGAAGGAAGGAAGGAAGGAAGGAAGGAAGGAAGGAAGGAAGGAAGGAAGATAGCAATAGCACTTAGATTTATATACTGCTTCACAGTGCTTTTGCAGCCCTCTCTAAGCAGTTTACAGAGTCAGCCTCTTGCCCCCAACAATCTGGGTCCTCGTTTTACCCACCTCGGAAGGATGGAAGGCTGGGTCAACCTTGAGCCGGGTGAGATTCGAACTGCCGAACTGCAGCTAGCAGTCAGCTAAAATAGCCTGCAGTACTGCACTCTAACCACTGCGCCACCTCGGCTCTTATCAATCGGTTGTATAAACAGAGGCATAGAATCAAAAAAAAAAAAAAAAAAAATCACGTGAAGTATAAGTACCACTTTAGAAATCCTTAGTAAAGACCACGCCTGGAATGCCGCGTTCCATTTTGGTCACCGCATTACCAAATAAAAATAAAAATAAAAATGTTGAGACTTTAGGGAAAAAGTGCAGAGAAGAGCCACTAAGATGATTAAAGGCCCCGGAGACTAAAACGTACGAAGAACGGTTGCAGGAACTGGATAGGGCCAGTCTAGAGAAAAGAAGGAGTAACTGGGGGACGGATGGACGGACGGGACATGATAGCAGTGTCTATATATATATAGATTCTGGGCTTTTTTCTTTTCTAACAGCTAGCAAGCTCTTCCTGCTAGGTGGGAGACCTAAATAGATCTATTTCTAGCTCGTTTGCTTTCATCAGTAGGCCACACCCATATCTTATGTATCCTCCCTGTAAATTTTCTTACTTCTTCATAGGGTTTATGTGTGTTTTTCTTCTAGCCAGATTTTCCTGTCTAGAAGGATATATATATATTTAATTTGATTTATATGCCGCCCTTCTCCGGAGACTCAGGGCGGCTTACAGTGCGTTAAGCAATAGCCTTCATCCTTTTGTATATTTTATACAAAGTCAGCTTATTGCCCCCACAAACTGGGTCCTCAATTTGCCTACCTTAGAAAGGATGGAAGGCTGAGTCAACCTTGAGCCTGGCGAGATTCGATCTTATTTTAATTGCAGACAGCTGGTGTTAAATTACAGTGCTTCTGTCTGTTGAGCTATCCAGGCTCCCCAATTTGAGAGGCTGCCACAAAGAAGAGGAGGGGGTCAACCTGAAGGCAAGACAAGAAACGATGGATGGAAACGCATCAAGGAGAGAAGCGACCTGGAATCCGAGGAGAAACTTCCTAACAGGGAGCACAATTAACCGGTGGAACAGCTCGCCACTAGGAGTTGTAAGGAGCTTCCATCATTGGAGGTTTTTTTTAAGAAGAGACGGGACAACCACCTATCTGAAATGGGATAAGAGTCTCTTGCTTGAGCACGGGGTTGGACTAGAAGACCTCCAAGGTCCCTTCCAGTTCTATTCTGATTAACAGCAATAGCCGCGTGGGCAAGTCTCTATTGGAAAAGCTGCAGGAGGAGAAAAACATGCCTGCCTGCTTCTGAGGCTCTCTACACTCCCCCACTATTTATTTATTTATTTATTTATTATATTTCTATACCGCCTTTCTCCCGTAGGACTCAAGGCGGTGTACAGTCAAGAAAAATACACACACAATACCCCCCCCCAGCTGTAGCACCAGGATTTCTTTCCGGGAGAAAATTGCAGGCCAGGCCTCGGTGGCTGGCAGCCCCCTAACCCTGCCTTGGGCTGACGTGCGGTTTCAGCTCAGCTTCCTGTGTCTTGCCTCACGGGGAGCACTTCCTTGAAAGGTTGCGGGGGGGGGGTGTCAGGTGCTGCAACAGCCGCCTCCTGGGGAAGCAATCTCCCTTTGGCTTCCAAGAAAAGGACAGCCATTAACCCCTCGGGCAAGCTTGGAGCTGAAGAAAAGGGTGGAGGAACGGGGTGGGGGGGCTTTAGAACCTTTGGGCCCCCTCCCCTCCTCACCCGTAGAGGAGAAGGGAAGGGAGCTTTTGAGCTTATCTTTGGAGCCCATCGAAGGGCGGACCTGGAAAAAGCCGTCGAGCCATCACGGCTTGCACGGGGAGAGCGCCAAGGGAGTTCAGAGTCATAATCTGGAATGGAAATCTCAAAAAACGAACAACAAAAAAACCCGAGCTCGGTCAACCGCCTCCGTATCTTCATCACCAAGACGGCCGCATGGTTTGTTCAACTCAAAAAGAAGCTTAAATTCCCTCTCGGTCTTTTGCAACGCAAAAAACCCAAGTTGGCGTCTTTAAGATAAAGGATCCCCTCGCGCATATGTGCTAGTCGTTCCCGACTCTAGGGGGCGGTGCTCATCTCCGTTTCAAAGCCGAAGAGCCAGCGCTGTCCGAAGACGCCTCCGTGGTCATGTGGCCGGCGTGACTCGACACTAAAGGCGCACGGGACGCTGTTCCCTTCCCACCAAAGGTGGTCCCTATTTTTTCTACTTGCATTTTTTTTTTTACGTGCTTTCGAACTGCTAGGTTGGCAGAAGCTGGGACAAGTGACGGGAGCTCACCCCGTGATGCGGCGCTAGGGATTCGAACCGCTGAACTGCCGACCTTTCGATCGACAAGCTCGGCGTCTTAGCCACTGAGCCACCGCCTCCCTAATCTTTCGTCGGGATGTAAAACTCGCGAGACCGGGCAGAACCAAGCCAAGGAAGTTGCCAGAGCAAGACAAGCTTGTCCGGATGGCCGCAGGTGAGACTGTCCAACTGGACAGAGAGCCGAGGAGAGGCCTGGACGGTCTTGGTTGGAGGAACTGGCGCTCTTCGTCGATTTTGGCCAACAAGGCCCCACACCTCATCTTGGCTGATGCAGGCTCCCAAGGAAAATGTTCTGGAGAGGAGCTCCAACGAAGCGAGAGAGAGTTCGGGATGCAGCTCTCCTACCTCACAACCATTTGTGATTTTCCACACACACACACCCCTCCAATCTCCTTTTTGTGCATCTGGACGGCCACACGAATCTTTCCCAGAGGGCTGGGCTGCCCGAGAGAGAAGCAGCCTCCCTCTCTGCCTGTCCCAGTCCCTTCCTTGCAAAATCCTCTCTGGGAGGGCCTTGGCTTCCACTCCGCCACCTGCGTGTGGGGCAAAGCGGCTTTCTCTCCCCCCCCCCTCGTAAGCCTCTCTTTGCTGCCACTAATTCTCTGGGATTATTCCCCTGAGCGCCGTTGAATCCATCAAATGCGCTTAAGAGAAATCCAGAGCCTTTGGCAGGCAGGCAGGCCTGAAGCCAATTCAGCCTCCCCCCCCCCCTCGCCTCCGCCCCAGTAAAGAAAGAGCCGGATGGAGGCATTTCCCAGGCCGCTTGGCACCTGGGCTGGCCGGAGCAGCTGCTATGCCTCTGCCCATATGCACCATCCTGCCTTAACAGCTACAGAAAGCAGGGGACGGGGGCGTCCGAGCCAGCCCCCATAAGCAGGATCTGGGGGCTTCCTCTGCAGGACAGAGATGGAGTTTTTGGAAAGAGAGACTGTTGTGCCACCATCCTTCCTAGCAGGGTTTCTTTGCCCTCGTTGCCTAGAGACGGGAGCCAGTCTGGGCAACCCAATCTGCCCACGGCAGAGGCTCTCCACGCCGGCCTTCAGGGGCTCCAGCTCGGGGATCTCCTGCAACAGGGAAGAGCATCTCGGAAGTGGAAGGACATCCTCCCCGTTCCGGGGTCTTGCAACACATAGGGAGCTGCAGCGGGTGAAACCGATTCTCTCGCCTTGCCCCAGGAGCCCCTGCTTCCCGCCGGACGGAGGCAGCCAGCAGAGGTAAACCTCACGGCCCACATGCCATGTTCTCGAAGAAGGACCATCAGCCGTGCTTTGGCACCACTGTCGGCCTTGTTCCCTTGCCTCCTTCCCTGGCAAGGCGGGCCGTGCGAGACTCACTCCGGGCAGGGCTGGCCCAGTTGGCGTGGGGGAGCTGCTTTGAGAAAGTCCCCCCAGGCATCGTTGTAGGCACGGAGTGACCTTAGGCGACGTGGCCTAAGGAGAGGGGAGGGGGGTCTTCTTTGGGTTGGGGAGCCAGGTAGAAAGAGCTGAGAAGGAGGTGGGGGGAAGCAGCCAGACGGACGCTGATTTCATGGGCCACTTTTTTGAGCTTTCTCTTTGCTCCGTGACGTCCCTCTTGTAATCCCAGGGAGGGGGGTCCTTTCTCTAGCTGGGGGGGAGGGGGAGGGAGAGGGGGATTCTCGCTGCTCTGGGGGTGCGGCTGTAGCTCAGCTCGAGAGGATCCTTTTCTGCTTCCCTGCCCACAAAAGAGGCACAACAGGCTGGCCTGTGATTGTGCATTCGGGGGAACCCCTTCCTCTTGGCTCGCTCTGCCGCCTTGAATCGGCAACAGGTGTGGTCCTTTGCCTGCCTTGTGAGTGGCATTTGGCAAGGCTGGCTAATTCTCAGGTGAATGCAGAATCTCTTGGCTTCTTCCTATGGGGGGAGGGGGGAATCCACTCTGCTGCTCCTTCTGCCCCTTCCCTCCCACCACCTGCTCTCTGCCATCCTTCCTCACCCAAGTTCCTTTTAAGATTTGCACACCTGCCCCGCACACCTCCCTGCCCGCGGCGGCTGGCACCCTGGCACGGGCTGCGATTATTGGGGGCTCCAGTCCAGGCCCTCCTTCACTGGGACACTCAATTCAGTCCGTCCGTCCGTCCCCCTGCCACCACCACCCCCTCGGGAGCTTGCGAAGGACAAAAGCTCTCGCTGCCCGGCCAAGGGAGCTGCTTTGGCCAAATTGCCTGGCGTTGCCCGGGAGCCTCGCTCCCACTTGCCTGGCACTGATTCTGGATGCCAGCCATGGGCAGTTCTGCCCCCAAAGGTGGGGGTGCTTTCTGGGGAGAGCAGAATCCTAATTGGGGGGGGGGAGAGAAAGGGGGAGTCTCTGGAGCCTCCCTTCCCTGAACAACCCAAGCTGAGCGCCCTGCCAAGGGATTCACGGGAGGGTACCCCCAAAATTGTGCCGCTTGGAAGCTGCAGGGTGGGATGGGATGAGGGGGGGGGGGGCCCAAAAAACCCCCCTGCTTTCTAGTCTCGATGAAAAGTAGCGATCGGGGGCTTCTTCGCAAAGCCGGTGTGGCCGCATGGACCTGGCATCTTTTTGGCACCGCTGAGCCTCGGGATGGGGTGGGGTGGGGGGGTCTGAACTGAAGCAGCCAAAAGTACCCCCCCTCCCCTCGACACACGAGATTCCCCGGTTCCCCGCTCCCTTCTTCCCCGGGGGCGAGGGGCGCCCTTCCTCCGAAGCCCGCTTGGCTTTGACCAGCTTCGCCCTCTGCCCCATCCTCCGTGCCATCCTTCGGGAGCCCAGCCAAGCAAGATCGTCGGGGTGAGAGTGGGGTGGGTGGGTGGCAGAGGGAGGGAGGGCAAAGCGGGGTCCCTCACCTGCCTCTCCGCGTCTTCTGCCTCCGCTCCGGCCCCGTCGGTCTCCCGGGCAAGCTGCAGGGTCCGGCGGGGCTTTTTAAAGCGAGAGGCAGAGGAGGGAGGCGGGGAAGGAAAGGGAAGGCAGGCTCCCCGGCGCGCCCCCCCCCCCCAACTCCCCGCCTTGGCTCCCCGAGCCCGGAGAAAGTAACGCTGCCCCCTGCCGGCCACTGCACCGCCGCCACCGCCGCCTCTCTTTCCCCGACGGCCGCGGAAGGGCTACGAATCCTACTGCCCTAAAGAGGAGCCCTTGGCCGGCGGGGGTCGCTGGACGGGCGAAGGGGGGGGCAGCTTTAGCTCAGCGGAGGCTAGGAGGCTCAGTGGCTAAGACGATCAGCAAGGTCGGCGGTTCGAATCCCTAGGATAGGATAGGGCCTCCTGCGTGAGCAGAGGGTTGGGCTAGATGACCTCTAAGATCCCTTCCAACTCTGTGATTGTTATTATCCCTCGGGGATCGCGGCCGCTGCCCTTCCCGGCGGGCTCCTGTGGGGACCTCCGGGGTGCGCGCCTCCGACGGGATCGGCCAGCCTCCATAAAGAATTCGCTTCGGTTGTGCCGAATTTTACCTCTTAACAGGCAGAGTTTTCTTCCCGGATCTAACACGAGGAACTCCTTTACCAAAAGCGGGTGGGGGGGGGACTCCCCGATGTATTAGGATCGCATGGGGCAAGGCTGGGCGTGTCCCTCTCCCATCCATGGCTGCTTTTTTTATTTATTTATTATTTAAATTTATTATTTAAATTTCTATACCGCCCTTCTCCA